ATTTTTAAACTTCCAAGAGGTGTTAAAGATAACAGAGAATAAAAATAAACTCAAAACCTGTTGTATTAAAATAAAGTCATTAATAGCATCATTTTTTTAAAAAGCATGAATTGAGTGCTTTGGAGCCAGAGCTCCAAATGTACAGTAAAAATTCATGGTGGGAACCTCCAAAGGTTCTGAGGTTCAGTTCAAATAACAATCCAAATATTTTTGGCCTAGAATTGAGGCTGGAACTCTGGCAGGATCAGTCTCTTGCAAGTGATTTTCAGTGCACTCTGGTTTTGGCTGAGTCAGAAATTGGACAAGAAACAGCCTTTTCATGATATTTCAGAAATTCTATTTCCAGAGGAACTCGGTCATGCAGGGGGTGCACTGACAAATACACAATACCCTTCCAACATATTCCATGAAGTTCCAGTTGAAGACAGCTTGACAACGTTTTTGTTACACCTACTGGGATCCTTTTCTTTTACTGCTTAGAAGTTCTCCTAACTAGGTTAAATATGCAAGTAAAATGTGTAATTAAGAACTACTCATAGTTCTGTATACTTATGTGACATATTACAAACATATAGGGCCTGATCCAGAAAATTGATACTAAGCAACCAGCCCCAATGAAGATAATGGGCTTACCCAGTATGCTTATGGGCTACTCCTCTGAACAAATGTTTGCACAATCAGGCTGCTCATAGATAAATTGGCTAGAGACAGCCGTAGAAAGGACAAATAATTCAGGAAAGGAAGGGTGTATGTGTTGTTTGTATAAATATACATATAATTACACACAGAGTCACATTCTCCATTGCACTCCAGCTTTTTGCACTACTCAGGCAACATAAACGTCTCATACAAATGACCAGTGAGAACTCCCCTGGCAGAGGAACACACTGTTGGTATAAAGCCAGCACAGTCAGCTCCTGTACCAGCTGGCCCCATCCTTTCCAGCACAGAGGGCAAGCCAGGGACAGAAGGAGACATGGTGGGAGTGGGGCAGAGTTCCACAATGCTGGTCCTCCACTAGCATAAGTACCAGCCCCAGATGCCCCGAGTCCTGGGCCGCCAGCTGGCCCACCCTAGCCCCAGCCCGCTTCAGGGAAGAGAAGCAGCGTGGGCTGGGGCCACGGAGGAAGAGTGGGAGGCAGGAGGGGGCCTTGGGGTGGAGCTTGGGCTCCTGGCTGTTTGGGGAGGCTTAGCCTCCCTTGGCCTGAGATACCCACCGCCCATGCATACACACACAGAGAGTAATTCTTAAAGCTATTTCACACTCCAACCTGAATTAGCTACTGTTGTAAACCCTTCCTGGACTCTCCAAGAGGGAAATCTGAGGATTGTTGCTCCGGCCAGGGCCGGCGGTCGCCTAGGGTGCCAGGATTTGGGGGGGCGGCATTTTGCCGCCCTTGGCAGCAATTCGGCGGCGGGGGGTCCTTCCGCCCCACGATTGACGACGACGACCGGGAGCGCAGAAGGACCCCCGCCTAGGGCGCCAAAAACCCTGGCGCTGCTCCTGGCTCCGACCCTCTGCTTTACCCTTGTAATTTACAACTCTTTATTCTCTTGAACTGAAGAAGATGAATGCTGATAGGATCTGAGAGAGGGTTATTGAAGGCTGCCACATGAATTTCTGAATTTCTTTTTGTACTTCACTAACTTGACAAGTGGATGTTCCAACACAGTTGCTGAGAAAGGACCAAATAAGACGTCTTTGAACTTATTGTAAGCTACAGTATTTCAAGAATTGCTCTTATTGTTACAATTGTATATTCCAACAGATTGACTGACCTCGTTCTGAGTATGAATGCTGTCAAGCTAAATATTTGTACAAATTCCAAATGCCATCATCTAGGCCCAGGACTGGGAAGATTATTTATATTTAATAAAACAAGAGATTGTTGGAAGATGAATAAATTGCCACAGCCTCTCATGTTCAGAACATTTTGTAATTGCCTTAGTCACCAAAATAAGCATCTTCTATTTGTAGGACCATGTAATTAAATTTTTCCAGGATCTCTTTCCAAATGTTAGACCTCTTCATTCATAAAGTGGTGTCTGACCAAAGAGTCAATCACTTGCAGCGTGGTCAATAAATCTAAAAACTTAAAAACATTGCTCTATCTGAAGGGGACCTTTAACACTTTTCTTGTATCCTTTAAACCAAAAGCTGATGAGTTTCTAGAGCCAGTTCTCTATGGTGTGATTCCTGGGAAAGAAGGGTTAATAACTCACACTGCAACAAAAGTTAAGTGAAAGTTTCCAACGATAATTTCCCCAACCGCTTCTCAGAAAGAATTAAAGACCCACTAAGAAATGCGGACCAGCTACAAAAAGGGAGAACTGATAGACTACTCCAGTCAGAAGATATGAAGCTGCTTAATGGATGAGAAGGGGCAAAAATGGATGAGACAAGACACTGATCTTCCACTTAGCCAGCACTGCAGGCTGAAGCTAGAATTACCACCCTAACATGACATATTATTTGGTTGCCTTTCTCCTTCCAGAACATGGATTTGGCATTGCTAAAGGAGCAGCTCTTAACTGGAATCCACAACTGTCTTTCTTCAGGATTTGAAAGAACCTACATCCAAATACTAAATGTAAGTCTAACTAGCAAGTCTGGATTTTTTTCACTACTCTCCCAAAATTCATCTATTTGAGGTCAAATCTAGCAATCTGAGATGCCTAAGAAAGAAACTGATGAATGAAAGTGCTAATTTTAGAGGGGGAAAAAATAATTCAGACTGAAAAAAAAGTGTGGTTTTGTTTCTTATGTAGTTCTGTTTGTCATCTGATTTGGCCATATCTTACTTGAACTATTTGCATCCACCTGAATGGGAAAAAAATGTAAAACACTGCCTGTTACCCATGTAGTTTCATTTACAGCTACTGCTGGATTCCAGAATCCAGCCTCCCTGCTGTATGATTTTTTCTTAAATAGCTCTTTGCAGAATGCTTCTGTCTTAGTACCTGAAACAAATAGCATCATAAGTCTTCCTGTGATGTTGCTCATTAGAAATCATGATGCGTGGGACAGAAGTTTATCATTTTTTCCCCAAATTGTTGTAACTACTACAGCAATCTTTTTCATATGGATTTCAAGGGAGGCAGCATGTTCCTGTCAACTGATTGTGGGACTGGGAGCCATTAAAAAATCCTTTGCTGTTCTAATCCTTGTTTTACTACCGCTTCACAGTCTGATCTTGGCCAAGTCACATTTTCAGAAGTATCCACTAATTTTGTGTGCTTCCATATTTGGGTTCCATCCTGAGACACATTGGGACTGATTTTCAGAGATGTTGGACACCTGCAACTCTCAGTGAAATCAGTGGAAGCTGTGGGTGCTCAGCATCTGAAAATCAGGCGACAGATGGAAAATTCATCCATGGTTTAACTACTAACTTTGATGCAGTTACACCAAGGATTAATTTGGCCCTAGATTCTCAGGTTGGGCATTTTCAGAAGTCTCCACTAACCTTGAAATTTAGGACTACAACCTCAGTGTCAGTTTGCCCATGTGTAAAATGCAGATCCCTACCCATGTACCCCTCTGGAGTATTCTGAGGGTTGTTTGTAAATTGCTAAGTATTTTTATTTCCTCCAACTCATTTAAAGAGGGGGACAGATTGCCATTTTGTTTTGTCTCAAAGATAATGCCTATTCAATGGCATTAACAGAGTACTAGCAGAGTTGAACTGCAGATTTCTTGTTGCCCATTAAGTGTTTCCCTTTCAATCCCGGTCACAAATAAAGGATCATATCCATAACTCTTTACTCAGGCAAAATACCTAATGAAGACAAAATGTATTTGGCTGAAAATTAAGAGTTGGATTCTGAAAGCATGGTGATTCTAGCCTTCAGTGCTGGCTAAGTGGAAGGTCAGTATCCTGCCTCACATTTTCCTTTTTTTGGGATGATTGTGATTGTTGGCAAAGGAAGGAGAAAGGAAGGAATAGAACAGAACAAAGGAAGGGAGGAATTGGTTTTCTCTTCCGTTAGCTAGCTCCCTGCTGGTAAATGCTAAGAGTATTCTGTAACTTTAATTGAATGCCATCAATCTAGGTCATATTATTTTAGAGTGATTTTAATTGAACAAAATAGTCTTCAAAAAGTAAGCGCCTCACTGATAGCATTTTTTTCTATCAGTGGCAATGAAACTGGTTTAAAATGGAAGAGGGAGATAAGAAAGGTTCAAAGGCACATAATGCTCTGGCTATAAGATGCTGAGCTTGATTCTTATCTCACATCAGTTTTTATGTTGGTACAGCTCAAGTAATTTACAGTTTCTCCTAATTTAAATGAGCATGAGAATTGAATTAGGTCTGGTATTTTTCAATGGGTGTGCATGGTGCTCTGACACTACAGGGAGGAACGTATTAAAAATGAACAGATGGCATTTACAGCTGATACAATAACTTTTATTCCTCAGGAATGCCAAACACAGTTTTGCGAATCCCATATCTGAATGGTGGGCATCCCGCCAAGTGACTCAGTCAGGTTCCTCCCGCACTGTTAGGCCCAGGCAGCACACAGGGAGGCAGGGATGAGGGAGCCCCTGGAGCACGTGCAGTGACAGTGGATGGACACATGTCACTCCTGGGCTGGTGCTACCCCCTGGAGGTCTGGGGCCTAAGCCCCATAAGCCCCAGCCCCGCCCCCTATTGCTTGCCCGTCCCTGCAGCCCTAGTTCCGGGGTCAGCAGCAGCCAGGCGAACAGCCGCAGGTGACGGGCAGGAGGGTGCTGCAGCGTCACCACTAGGAGGTTTCCCCGGCTCCAGCACTAGGGCCGAGACTACAACTCCCAAGGGGCTTTGCGAGGTCTTCCGGTTGCTGACAGATTTTGTCGTGTTAACTTCCTGTGCAGCTCCTATACGCAACCGTGAGCCGCCACGCTCCTCTCGCGAGAACTTAATTTATCCCCTCGAGACTTCACCAACGCCATCCCACTTCGCCCCACAAACAATTCTCGCGAGACCCTGGACCTGACCGCGGCGGCGCGGAGGCCCCCGCGCGCTGCTGTTGCCCGCCGTGACGCTGGGTGATGGAGGAGGCGGGCGGCGCGCGCGAGGGCCTCTTCTCGCTGGAGCTGCTGGTGGAGTGGGTGCGGGTGGAGCCGCGGCTGCTGCCCCCGCGCGGGCCCCTGCGCCCGGCCGTGGCGCTGCGGCTGCTGGACTTCCCCACCCTGCTGGTGCACCCGCCCGAGCCGGGCTGCCCGCCGGGGCGGCTCGTCCCCTTCGGCCGGGGCAAGTCCTGCCTCTTCCGCCTGGGCCCGGGCCCCCTGCGGGGCCTGCTCCGCCGCGCCCCGCTCTACGCGCTGCTGCTGGCGCTGCCCCCGGGGCCCGGCCCGGCCCGCCTGCTTGGCAGCTGCTGTGTCTCCCTGGCCCCGGCGGCCGAGGAGCTGCTGCGGCCGCCGCAGGGCGGGGCGAGGCCCGACTCCCGGGGCCGCAGGGGCCGTTACCCCCTGCGGGACCTCATGGGGGAGCGGGTTGGGGAGCTGGCCCTGGGCTACCGCCTCAGCAGCCTGGGGCCGGCCTTGCTGGGGCACCTGCCTGCGGGCCTGGGGCAGGAGGTGGCTGGGGGAGCGCCGTCGCCCAGCCCCCCGGATACCCAGCGCAAGAGCGGGCCCAGGCCGCAGGGGGCCCCGGGGGAGCAGGCGTCTGGTCGTAGTAGGCGCTGCACGTCTATGGGCAGCCAGACGGAGCCGCAGGTCAGGGAAGAGGTTGGGGAGTTGGAGCCTGAGCACAGCGGCCAAGCCTCATCCCCCGCTGGCGAGACCCGTCAGCCAAGTGGGGAGGAGGTGAGGGAGCTGGAGATAGAAGCAAACGTCTTCTGCCCTCCCCCCTTGTACTACAGCCACCTGCCCACAGAGCCCCCACCACCCAGGCCCCCTGAGAGGGTGGCAGTTGCTCAGCCTCAGGCACTGCAGGAGCAGATCCCAAGTGTACCCCTTGTGCCATTGCAGGAAGCTTGTCCAGACAGAGGTCAGGCTTCTGGTTCCTTGGCCCAGTCGCTGGGTAGTGCCCAGCTGCTCAGAGATGCTCTCAGAGAGCTGCCTCTGATCAATGCTTTGCTGGTAGAACTGTCCCTGCTGAACAACCAGCCCTTGCAACTGGGACCTTCTACTGTTCACCCCCAGCTGGCCTGGCTATATCGAGAAGTAGAAGACGACGTCAAGCCCTCAAGACCTCTTGCTAAAAGCAGATGGCCAATGGGGCAGGATAAGGAAACACTTCTTAACCCCAGTGAAAGATTCAAAAGAAGTGAGCAGGAGTTTTCTAAATTGGGTGGTTCTTCCTTAGGAGAGACTGGGGCTGGGAAAGGAACCAAGAAAGCTGCTGCAGCATCAAGAAACAACGGTTTTGAAAAGAAGAGTGGAACCAAAGAGAAAACACCCCCAAGAAAGAAACTGTTTTATGGACTCACAAATACACTAAGGTTACGATTACAGCAGACCAATCCAGATATGTTAATACTTCATGAAAGGAGAGAACAATATAGAAAAAGGCAAGTAGAGATGCTGAGGGAAAAGAAAGGCAAAGGCTCTTTGTCCAGAGGAAAACTATTCAGAAACACTGCTGAACAGCATCTGTCTTCTTACAGGCCTCCTGCCAGGGGAGGAATTTTAGAACAAAATGTTCAGCTTCATGAAAATATTGAGACTTTAATACAAAGTAGTGTTGAAAAAGATTACTCTACCACTATAACGGAAGATATTTCTAATCTACAAAAACATGCTGCTCACAATAGGCCGAACAATCATGAAGAAAGCACAAAGGAAGAGAATCCGTATGAAGTGAATACAAACTGTTCACTGGAAGGAACTACAATTAAAACCCCTTACAAAGTAAAGGATGTGAAAGTCCACCTGCCAAGAGCTTTCACCCAGGATACTGATGCAAAGAGAAATAAAGTAGATGAGGAAACAGTACAGTTTATTCATGACAAAGACATGGATCACTATAATGCTTCCACATTAGGTGATTATCAGTTAGGCCCCAAAAACAGTTTTGAAAGTAACCCTGAACTCAAGTATTCAGATGACTTTGTTGGCAGCCCTGAGAACACAGGCTATTCGGAAGATTTCACCAGTGCTGACGATACGGGCAGAGGCTCAGAAACTCTTGATAGCAGCCCAGAGCCTGCACTGGTAAGCCCAAAGCAAGCTTGCTCAGACATGGATTCAGAATCCAAGAAGTCCAGACTTTCTGAAAAAAGTCTGAGAACTGAAAGTATTTCAGCTCCTCTACCAGTTCCTTCAACTGCATCTCCAGTCCAGTCTCTTAAAAGAACCTATGATTTAAAAGCAAAAAAACAGAGTACAGGTGCGGCTGTCAGTATATCCATTAGTGACTCCTCTCCTCCTGCAGGTTCATTAGATAAGCAGGAATTAGCTCCACACATCAAGGAAGAAGATAGCAAAATTGACCAAAATGTTTTCCAGGCCCCTGAGGTGAAGAGTAAGCAAACTAATTCTGATATGAATAGTGTAGTAAAGGGCCAAACCTCTTTGGAAAAGAGCCAGTCACTGAGGACATCTCAAGTTAGCTCCTACTTGCCATCCAACATGTCTGATCTTGAACTTAGTTGTGTGGAAAACAATACATCAGACAAGGAAGAGGATGACAACTTTGGGACACTGAGTATTCCTAATCAATATAAGCACATCAGTGAACTAGTAGTAAACAAGCTTCCTGGATACACAATGTAATCAATATACACTCTTCATCAAAACAAAAAATGTTTACTTTTTTTATTTTTATAAACAATATTAAGATATTTGTAATTGGATATATATAACAGATACGATTGGCTTTATGAATTTAATAAATTGCTGTTTTTGTTTTTATAAAAACAATGATTGTAACTTTGGTGTATACAACATAACTTCAATTGTCTGAGCCTAGCTTTAAAAGAAAAAGACAAGCAAAAAAGTGTTTAAAATACCCCATCTGTTCAATTGTAGAAATGAAAATGGAAGCAGTAAGCCTTCCTAGAATATCCAAAGACTTGTCAGAAGAAAATGGTAGTGCTAAAGAAACAACCATGCAGTTAAGTTATGAGTACAAATTATGTCTAACCATTTTTATAAATGGAGATTTTAAATCATGTAACCTTGTTGACAAAAGCAATCTTTACACTTTAAGGAAATAAATGCAATACAACTGCTACTTAATGCACACAGGCTGTCATAGGCAATAGCAGTATAGATTGTAAAGCCAGAAGGAATCATGATGATAATCTAGTCTGACTTGCATATATAGACTATCATAATGACTAACACAGGCCATAGCATTTCACCCAGTGTTTAACACTGATCCCATTAACTTGTGGTTTAACTAAAGTACTCACCTTTTCAAGTTGGGGGACCCCTTATACATTTTCATGACCACTTACATCTATTATAAGGGAGTAAACAAAAAATGTTGATAGGCCAATTTGTATGTATTTCAGGAGGTTGACCTCCTATATTTGACCTTGAAAGATAAGTTTGGGCGGGGAGTGGAAGAGAAATTTTTATTACTTTAGATTGTAATAAATTCAGAGTTCTCACAACCCTCCTGATTGCCTTTCATGATTCGTTGGTTGACAAACACTGAATTAAGATACATATTTAAGACATTACATCTTGATTTAAAGATGCCAAGTGATGGAGAATTTACATCCGTCAGTAATCTCCAGTGGTTAGTTACCCCTTGATACATTTATATTTCATTTCCAGTTTGTTTTTCTTGACTTCCGCTTCCAAGTATTGAATGGTTATGCCTTTAATTCTGTTTTTAAGCATCTGTCCAAATCCATTCTCTAAATGTCAGAGGCATCTTCCAATTACTGCTTTTTTTTTTTTTTTTTTTTTTTTTTTTTTTTTTTCCCTCTCTTTTTTTTTTTAATCTCTTTATGATGAATATGATCTAATGAAAGTATTGAATTCCCATTATTGAGAATAAATTACAACACCTCAGTTTCAAAGACAAGAAAACATGGTTCCTGTACCCAAAGTAAACTACAGTAGAGCTGTGTAAAATTTTTAGACATAGTTATTTGACGAAAAATGCAGTTTTGGTTGACCAGAAACTATGTGCTAGTTTGACATGAATAGTCAAAATGGCTAGAAGAGGAGGATGAGGTGGTGCTAGTGCTGTCACCACCCTCATCCTTCAATTTTTAGTCCAGTGGTTAGGGCAATCACCTAGGTTGTGGGAGACTCACATTCCAAAAAGTTTCAGATTTGGTTAAACCTGAACCATTTCCCTCCCCCCTCCCCCAGAACTGCCTCCAAACTGGAAAACCAGTTATTCATCCAGCTTTAATCTGCAGTCAGATGTGGCTGGAGATAACTTTTAAAAATTGTTCTACTTCATCAGCTCAATTCCAGAAGTGGAGAGGCTGGTTTTCTGCTCTCATTGGTGTTGCTCTGCCAGTGTGTATTAAACACGAATGGTATTTGAATATAGCATTAACTCAATTGTTTTACTGATAGACAAAATTGTGTGTCATCCTTATGGACAAAACAACCATTGAAGTACATGGCTGGAGTTCTTGGCCACACTATTTTTAGTATATGGATGTATCAGTAATTAGTAATATTTATTAAAAAAACAAAAATAGTGACATTCAAATCTCAGACTCTTTTGGACACTTATACATTTCAAGTTTTATAAAGTAGCATGTAAAGGAAGGTTGAAACTCAAAACCAAGATATTTTCCCTGTAATTTCCATCTGTAAACATTGTGGTAGGAGCATTCATCTCAGCTAATTTTTGTAACACTTGTGGATCAATCACAAATAAGTATTAGGGAGATAAAGTATAGCGTGAGAGACTAGTGGATAGAAAAATGCATAATAAATGGGCTATTACTGAGGAGTAGACATATATACCAACATGAATATTGAATATCAGATTTAAGGAGATGTTTTATACACACACCCTTCACATAAAATCCAGCTAGGAAAAATTAGTCTTGTGCTATTGCAGAGAGAGAAGTCTAAACAGATTCAGCCTAATTTTTACACTTCAGAATGACAGTATGTTAGTAGTCTGAGCAAGATAAACTGATTGGATATTAGCAATACTGTTATGAGAATCAATTCACAACCTTGTCTAATCTTCAAATAATTCTCCTTTAAGAGAAATAGGGGAGAATTTGTTTCATTAGTCTATTACTGAAGATTTATAAACCAACACAAATATGTAGGAAGTGTGTTTTAGTGATGGGATGATTTTCTGCATTTCTACCCAGCAGAACAAACCAGGGCTAGTAGCTATTGGTATAAGAAACAGGAGAGTATCAGGGAGAGGTGCCTTTTTGCATGAATCTTAGTCTATGTACACACTACATCTTAAATTGGTATAAGTTATGTTGTTCAGGGGTTTGAATAAGGCAGCCCCCTGAGCGACATAAGTTACACCAACCTAAGCGCTGATGTGACAGCACTATGTCCGTGGGAGAGCTCTCTCTCTCACATCGGCTTAGAGCAGGGGTTCTCAAACTGGGGGTTGGGACCCCTCAGGGGGTCACAAGGTTATTACGTGGGGGGTCGTGAGCTGTCAGCCTCCACCCCAAACCCCGCTTCACCTCCAGCATTTATAATGGTGTTAAACATAAAAAAAAAGTGTGTTTAATTTATGAGAGGGGTCGTACTCATAGGCTTGCTGTGTAAAAGGGGTGACCAGTACAAATGTTTGAGAACCACTGGCTTAGAGCATCTGCACTGGAAGCGTTGCAGATGCACTACAGTAAGCTCTGTAGTGTAGCCATATCCTTACATTTACAGATTCAACTGTGGCTTACTAGTTAGTCAGCTTCTCTGTTATATGTACAACTTGAATCAGGTGTTCTCATGACCAAATTGCTAACGTCAGAAGCTATAATAAGGGATTTCTTTAGCTGTATTTAGCTGAACTGAACAAATTTTCTTTAGTAAAAGATGTTTTAAAAATTAAGGGCAAGATCCTATCCTGGCTTATGCAAGATAGGGTAGGATTTGAGGGAGGAAGAATCAGGCGCTTCCTGCTATCCTTGTGAGGCCTGCATAAAGGCTGGCTAGATTTACAGTCTTGGAACTCAGGAGTGCTGCCACCACAAAAGGCTCCATTTCCATTCCATAACTCCATTTCCCACTTCTGTGCTGACCAGCACAGCAGGCTTTCTGAGAGGGGGTAGCAGGAGAAAGAGATGTAGCAGTCTCACTCACAAGCAGGCATTTTCTGGTGTGGTTCTGTGCTATCTTCATGCCTTGAAAGGCCTAATCTAACCTCAAGTGAATTTAGTGCACATGAAAGTGCCTGGTTAATACCCCTGAAGACTGATACACACACCAGATATTGAATTTCCCACGCTGCCGCACAAATGCACATCCACACTCACGCCCACCTGTGTGGATGAGAAAATAGTTCATTTCTCGTATCCATTCTATCCTTGTTCTCTATCAAGATCACCATAATGGTTGTCATTTTATGCCCACCCACTCAGATGTAGACTCTTGTCCATTGGGACTAATTTCACATAGGCCCAAACAGCTGCCAAATTGTAACACCTTTCAATCACTATCACCCCGAGATGGATTGAGATTAACATTAGGGTTGTACAATTCCCCTGAACATGCTATCCTTATTACAAAGTTAAGTGCTTTTTAAGTGTTAGAGGTCAACACAACTAGATTAAAATGTAATGTAGAAGCACTACTTATGTCAAGAATTACTGATCTAGCCTGTAGTATTCTTCAAAGTTTTAAAATAAATTGATAAACTATTATGTAATTTCTTAAAATCTAATTAGCCCCATGAACTCTAAAAATTTATCTTGTGATCACTCCTCTATTGAGCCATGAACCAACTACCTTATGATTACTTAGAATGCATAAACTATATATTTAGCATGCCATATGCTGCCAAACTCTTGCATACTTCAAATGTCAAAATGAAACTCCTAATGCTTGAAAATAAACCAATGAAAAAGTGAAAAATAACTAAAGGTTACTAAACTGTTCAGCTGATGCTTTCCTTGTGACTTGCAAATATGCTGCTTTAAGGCCCTAATTCTACAAACACATGTTTGTGTTTAACTTTACTACTGCAAGTAGTCCCATCGAAAAATTAGTGGGGCTGCTTGTAGTAGTAAAGATCCAGACCCTAGATAAGATTGGCCATGTGGGTGTTTATGAACAACAGTTTTCAGTTACCTAAGCTAGAGATGATTGAACCAGTTATAACAAAATAAAACCTTAACCTTCACCCAAAACTTTAGCTAACCCACTTAAAAAAAAAAAAAAAAAAAAATAAACATACTGTTTAAAAAAAAAAACCCAAACCAAACAGGCTGATATCCTGCAACAGTTATGACTAGTACAATAATTTGTTATTGTAAAGTTTTACAAATATTTCATCATTGTTTATTCAGGTAAATACGTATCCCATATTATAAAACTGGGGGGAAAAGACCAATACATCACATATTGACAAATCATTGACCACTGATTCTTATCCTTTTCTCCTACTTCCCCACTGTCTCCCTGACTCACTCCCAATAGCTGACTCCTCTGCTGCTCCCATGATACTAAACACATCTGGAGGCAGTAACATGAACACAGTGATTTCCTCCATTACATATTTGTTCAACTCTAACATGTTCTTGATCAAGCTGTACCATTTCTTTACTCTCATTGGCTCCTGTGCCCACGTTCTCATTGGAGGGATTTATATGCAGCAAGGTAGACATAGTTTAGGAAGTTGTTTTCCTAGATATCCTGAAGCAATACTCAATATAGGGATCATATATGTCCAATTCCAGCAATTATGCAATTAGTTTTACCATTGAAATTATTGCATTGAAGTTTTCACTATTTGTAGTTTATATTGGCCTGGGGCCTAGTATTTTTATGACAACTGATTTTGTATTAGTTCTACTTATCTTTGTTAGTTTTAATGGTTATTCTTATATTATATATAAATTGCCACTCTATTTCTAATTCCATGGGACTTCATTTTCTTTTCTATTTTCTCAGCATTTGTCACTGGCAGCTACTTTATTACTTGCTCAAAGATTCCAGGTTTGAGTCTCTAGACATAAAATTTATGTTCATAATCTCAAAGGTTTTGTTAAATTTTGCATTACAGCACTTTCATTAGCTTCTGAAAAGAGTAATGCTGCATATTCCCATCTGAGGGACAAACCTCTAAAGATGATGGCTGGCAGTGACCTGTGTTCCTGGGA